AATTTTTCACAAGAATTTGTTAAATTATATTTCACACATAAAATGGCTTTCAAAGTCTCAACACCTAATTGTGATTTTTCTGATGTCCACACTTTATTTACCGTAGAAAAAATGCGTTTAGTTGCAGCATTAATTCCTGGTAAGGACAGCGTGTATCCCACAATTTTTAGTGCATTATTGTATGGTACATGGTTTGTTTCAAAATGATGAAATATTGCTAACTATTTGTTCTCTATTATGATTTTTGCTGATGCCCAAGATTTAACCTCTTCGTTATCAATATATTTTTTTAATGATACCTCGTAAGTCGTGTCACTTTTGAGGCTGGTGCTAGACTTTTTGCTGCCACTATAAAACATAAATAATACAAGTACTGTCTGCTAAATTCATAAAATAAATACTTATCTGAATAGCTGATTTGTTGACATCACTTGTTTAACTAGTACTGGCATGCAGTATGATGTGTATCATCTGAGAGACAGTTACAAAATGTTTTTGTGGTTGCCAATGCCAAAAAATGCCATTGTTTATTAAGTCCAAACAATGGTGGTCGAATTCTAACAACTGATCAACAATGCGAACTTTGATAAGCAGTTCTCGATAATCAGTTGTCAACAATTATTTGTTATTATTAAAGTTTAACATTATAAAATTAACAAAAATAATATAAAACTCATATCCTGGTGAAATAGCCACATGGCAGCCGAAAACCGTATATTCCCTCCCCGTTCTCCTGCCTTTCCCTAGCTTGTCGTGCATTCTTTCCAAAAATCGGGACTTTTTTAAAACACTGCAGGACACAGGACATATTGTTAAAAATTGAGACTGTCCCGCCAAAAGCGGGACATCTGGTCACCTTAGGGTAGAGTCATAAAACAGAATGAAACTAGTTGAATGAATGCCTAGATTATCAATCTCCCTAGGCCAGTTTCCTAATCTTTCACTGTTGATATTTTTTGATCTGGGTGATTCTTGCTGGGAGCGGCTGTCCTGGGCATCCAAGAGTGTTTGACATCATCCCAGGTCTCTACCCACAAAATGGCAATAGCAGCAGCATTACCACTCCCATCACTTTGATGGCAGCTAAAAATATCCCTAGGAGGCAAAATCACCCCAGTGGAGAACCACTGATCTCGACTAAAGTTTAGTTAAATTAGTATTAGAAATTTATATTCTGAAAATCAATGGCTTCATGTTTTATTTTTTTTTTAGCAAAAATTTCTTTTGAAATTCCAATTTAGGTTTACCCAAAGGGGGGAAAAAAGTATTTCTATATCTTATTCAAGATAGCAGGGGATGTGGCTAGAGTTCCACATGTAATGGTGGCTGTGATCAGAACAACACAGAGTTTGGGAATTGGATAAAAGATTTAAGTACAGTAACCTAGAAACTGAATATAGATAGGTTTTTCACTCACTTGTAAGAGCAAAAATTTAAAACATCAAAAATTTAATGAAAGTTTTAATTCTACCAGCAACTATTGCAGCACTGTCTCCAGAACTTAAAATATGGAAAATTTGAGGGCACACATAAAAACATGAAAATGATTAGAAATCAGATGTATATGAGAAATGCTAAAATTAGCATTGTAATTGCTTAGGCCTACAAAGATAGGGTCTGTGCCACGATCTTCCAGTGCTTCAAGAATTATTCTACATTTGCTATCCAGCTCCTTTGAAGAATAAGAAGAGAA